CCATAAGTATTATTATTGTTGTTATATTATTATTATTTTTTTAAGTATTGGTGGTGTTTATTATTATTATTATTATTATTATTATTATTAATATTGTTAATATTATTATCATTATTATCATAAGCATTATTATTATTGTTGTTGTTAGAAATTTTATTATTATTGTTATTAGAAGTGATGTTGTTATTATTTTTATTTTTTATTATTATTAAAAGTATTATTGTTATTTTAAGTATTATTATAGTTGTTGTTGTTGTTGTTGTTGTTATTATGTTTAGATGTATAATAATAATAATATTATAAGTACTTTTGTTGTTGTTGTTGTTGTTGTTGTTGTTGTTGTTGTTGTTGTTATTATTATTATTTATTATTATTATTATTATCATCATTATTTATTATTATTATTATTATTAGAAGTATTATTGGAAGTATTATTATACTTTGAATCATTTGGGTTGTTGTTTTTGTTTATTATTATTATTATTATCATCATTATTATTATTATTATTATTACATTTGTTTCCCAATATGTCAGTTTTATATTCTGGCTAGAATAGACAAAATAACTGCATTATTGCAAATATTTATGGAAATAAATTGGCTAGCATGATGAAATTAAACTGATATCCATGGCATTAAATCTTAAATGGATAAATAAGTTTGCATCTAGTAAATTAACAAAAAAAACTAAACAAAAAGCATGAATATTTAGAAGAAAAAAAACACTCTTCTTCAGATCTAAAGAGCTGCACCACTTTCCATGTAAATTAAGTGTAGTTTGCATGCAGTTTTATATAAGCAATAAACACATTTTTAATTGTCTGTCCTGCAACAGGGCCCCGAGAAGAAAATGAAGGAGGAACAGGAAGAGAAGAAACGCAAAGAGGAAGAGGAAAAGAACAAGGAGCAGAACACCGAAGCAGCAGATGAGGAAGAGGAAGACGAAGGAGAGGAGGAAGAGGAAGAAGACGAGACTGAAGAGCCTCAGGAGGACGAAGGAGACGAGGATGTGCTTCAGAAAGACGAACTGTAAAGCAGAAATCCATTTTTGTCCATATTCCACATTATACCAGGGACGCGACTGCAGTGCATTCATTCAAAACAACACATTCAGACTGAATGGGAACCAATGGAGGTTCTCAGACCACGCGTTCAATCAGTGAGCTTTGACCCCTAAATAGCCATTTAAAGAGACGGTTCACCCAAAAACTGAAACTTGTCATTATTTATTCATCCTCCATTTGTTCCAAACCAACGTTTCTTTCCTCTGTTGAACACAAAATAAGATATTCTGTGTTATATTTTATTGTAATTAGTAGCATAGTATTTTTTTTATGCTACTATGGAAGTCAATGGGTCCCAGCAACCAGCATTCTACAAAATATCTTCCTTTGTGTTCAACTGAAGACAGAAACTCTTAAACGTTTAGATTTTTGGGTGAACTGTCCCCCTAAATACCTTATTTTGTTTGTTTATTTAGAAGATCTCAGCCCATGCATTTAATTAGTGATCTTTGACCCCTAAATGGCCAGTTAAAAAGACAGTTAACCTAAAAAATTTAATTCTCTCTTTCATTTATTCATCAATGACTTGTTCCAAACCGGTTTGAGTTTCTTTCTTCTGTTGAACACACAATAAGATATGCTGAAGAATACTGTATTTTATTATGATTGGTAATATGAATTAGTAGCAAAACTATGGAAGTCAATGGGTCCCAGAAACCAGCATTCTTTAAACTATTTTCCTTTGTGTTCAACCGAGTAAAGAAACTCAAAGTTTAGAACCACTTGAGTGAGTGGTGATTTTGGGTGAACTGTCCCCTTAAATACCTTGTTTTTGTTTGTTTGTTTGTTTGTTTGTTTGGTAGTTTTCAGCTCATGCATTACATAGTTAGTGACATTTGACCCCTAAATAGCCAGTTAAAGAGACCGTTCAGCCAAAAAAAAAAAAATGAAGTCCTTCGCTTGTTTCAAACCTGTTCGAGTTTCTTTCTTCTGTTGAACACAAAGGAAGATATTCTGAAGAATGCTGGTAAAAACAAACATTGACTTGCATTGCATTTTTTTTGCTCCTCCTATGGATGTTAATTCTTTGAGCATTCTTTGAAGTGTCTTTTTTTTGTGTTTTTATAGAACAAAAAAAATAAGTTTAGAATCATTTGAATTGGTAAATGTTCTTTTTTAATGTGAATTGTCCCTTTAAATATCATCTTTTATTTGTTTGTTTGTTTTTGAGTGTTTCTTTATGGTACCGGGGTCCGACATGTGAAACACCTTTAAAGAACTGGTCTATGATCAGTTTATTGTGCCTTTTGTGTATGCAAAATTGTTGTTTCTGTTAGTTTGAAGGAATTGGATTAAGTTAGATTAACAGTCTGTATCAGGAAGCCGGATTAGCTTTATAGGCAGTTATGTTTTAGTTTAGTTTGCACCAATTCTGCATTTTGTAGCTCAGCTTCTACATAATACCATGGCACATAATGACTTTACCTGTTTGTTCAAACTACTTATTTATGACGAGTCGAACCAACACAGTTTTTAACTTTTTTTTTTTTTTTTTGGCCAACTTAATTGTTTTATGTTCATTCAACTTAAATTTATAAAAATGATTGGTCACTTTATTTTGATGGTTCGCTTGTTGAATTTAAGTTACATTGCATCTACATGGCAACTAATTCTCATTAGATTATAAGTAAACGGTCAGTGTTAGTTAACATGGACTTACAAAGTGTCTTACAGTCAGTTAAATGTCTGTTTAGCAGCAGATATCAAGCAGACAGTCTACAAATGCTCAAATGGACCATCAAAATAAAGTGTTACCAAACGATAAAGTTAACTTAATCGATTTGTGTTGGGACAACATGAAGGAATTGTGTGGATGCTTTACAATGAGTAATTGAAGTCGAGCTGCCTTAAAGGGATAGTTCACCTACAATATTCTGTCATCATTCACTCGCTCTTCACATGTTTCAAACCTTTGAGTTTCTTTCACACAAGAAGAAATCTTGAGGAAAGCTGAAAACCGGTAACCATTGACTTCCATTGTAGAAGAACAAATACTAGGGAAGTCAATGGTTACCGGTTTCCAACATTCTTCAAAATATATTCTTTTGTGTTCAGCATGCAAAAGAAATTCATAAAGTTTTGAAACCAAATGAGGGTGAGTACATATTCATTTTCTTGTGCGAACTGAAACTTACCTGATTGGTGCAAACTAAACTGAAACTTAAGTGGCTAATCCAGCTTAATGTTACAGGCCTGGGGTGTACTACATAAGGTTACCAGGATGTTGCACAGCTTAAATAGTTGATTCTTAATATTGCCATGAGGAATAGAAGATGAGATTTTCACCATGTTATTGTTGTTTTTGATAAGAGATTAATCAGGTTACAGGCTGGGCTCCAAACTATTGACCTCATTTCTGAAACCGAAACAGAATGGAGTCGTTTGTGTGTGAACTGTTGAGGAATGAGATTCTAGAAAAGCATACAATTGACATTTGTGTTTTGTAAATGAGGACCGGTTAATGTTTGTACTGTAGTGCAAAACTTGCAGTGACGCGATGCTCCTTTGGCACTGATGATTTACGTTTTGCTTTTTAGTTTGTGTTCTGTTGCCACAAGTTATGTGCTGTGGTTGTTCTTAATGTCCTAAATGAGATATTCAGTACAATTCCTTTTATTTTCCAGCTTTATTTATTATAACGGCAATGTCTTTTTGGTTTTACCGTACACATTTTCAGTGGCGGTAACGTTTGCGACGTCCATATTGTAGTTACTTGAAAATAAACGAGCTGCAGTAGGGGATGTGGTTATATTTGCGTTAAAATCAACTAGTTGTCTACACACTGTGAAGTCCCCGATGTTCAAATTGGATTTCTTGTCAAATTGCAAAATCTTGTTTTGTGATGTTCGACCACCTTTTTACATGCCGAGACTTGTAATTAATGCCAAAGTTTTAATAAATAACTTTATTGTACATGCAGTTGTGTTATTTTGTGAGTTTGGGGTCCTAAGGAAATAAGATGATATTTGATCTCCCACACTTCCCACTTATTTGGGTCACTCATAATTAATCTAGAATTGTGGATATTTTATTCACATCCAGAAGTTTGGATAGTTTATTCACAAGTATCTGAGTAAATATGTACACTACCTGACTAATGTCTTGTCATCGATCCCAGTGGAAGAGCAGTCCTAAGACATGCGGTACAGGTGAATTGGGTAGGCTAAATTGTCTGTTGTGTGTTTGTGTGGATATTTCCCAGTGATGGGTTGGTGCTAGAAGGGCATCCGCTGCATCCAACATATGCTGGATAAGTTGGTGGTTCATTCTGCTGTGGTGACCCCACATTAATAAAGGGACTAAGCTGAAAAGAAAATGAGAATGAATGAATGAATGAATAAATGTTTGTAATGTACAGCAAACACAATGCAGTATTTGATTATACCTGAATTTAGCTAGA